TTCGCAAGTCATCCAATTTCAACTGTGAATGTACAAATATGAGCTCGGAAAGGAGGTTCAAGAACAACTTAGGCGACTCTCACAAAATATAGCTTTTCAAGGTTTGAATTTTCTTTGCTTCAAGTTTTCTCTATTTCTTTTAGTTACAAACAGAAAAAAAAAATGCTTGGTTCAAATGAAAAGCTCACTGGGAAAGAACGAAGTCCAAGAAAACCCAATGAGATTATTATGCTAAACAATAATTAAAATACACCACATATAAGATATCTCTCACCCTACACTTAAAATTATGCATTGTCCCCAATACACACCATAAATAATAAGAGGATAAAAGAAACTCCCTGGAAGGACAAAGGCCGAAGTATCAGCAGCTCATGGGGTACTCAGACTTCTCCCAGGCATTGTCCTTTGTGCGGGAACCCCACACTTAGTTTCAACCATCTGGATTGCTTTTGCTTCTTCCAATGGCTTTGTCTCTCATGATTATACACCTACAAAATAAAAAATAACACTACAAAAATAATACAATAAAAATTAACTAAATAAAATAAAATATAATAAAGTTGGGTTGCCTCCCAATAAGCGTCTTAGTTTACATCGTGGCGCGACGTGAATCACTTTTTACCTCCACCTCAAACTTATGAATTGGATCGCCAATTTAGACTCAAGCTTATGATTATGCTCTTGGGGTGGTAGAACAAATTCTTGCGAGCCAAAAACTAAGTATCGCATTTCACACTTCTTGCCTTCAAATGAGGAATGTTGTTTTGCCTAAATGGCATTACAAATTTTAGAATGTATGTGATAACGACAAGGTCGGGAATCCAAACTATGGTAAGAATTTGAAAAAGTAAATGCGGAAAGAATAACAATAAGGAATTGAACAACTAGAACTATTGGGCAGAAAATAAAGGATATGGGAAAATTCAAGGAAAGAATTCCAAGAACTTCCAAAAATGCAAGTTCTATAGCCTTGACAAGATCAAAGCAACAACGTCTTGATTTATTGAAGAAATCAAATGCCTTTACTTAAAAGCAAATCAAAACAATAGATTCGGATCTTGACCGCTTTACGAGTAACTTGAGACAACAATTAATAACTAGTATTAATCGCCTTCTAAGAATACCACAAAGGAATCAAAGATATCACAATAGAGAAGTAATCTTACTACCTTGAACTATGAACTAGTAAAGGTTGAAAGATAAATCTCAAAGCACAAGTAACAAAGGTTCAAAAGAACTCTCAAAGTATGATATACTTAATCAATAATGAAGTGTCTCAATGAATGAGAAGAACTCCTTATTTATAGGAGTACTAAAGCACAAAAAGTCCTTAAAACTAGGTAGGGTGGTTGCTAAGGCATAAAAAGTCATTATAATTAGGTAGGGTGGTTGCTAAGGTGTAAGAAAAGTCATTACAATTAGGTGGGGGCGGCCAAATCCCTTTGGGGCAGATTTGGACCTTAAAACTACTAGTTTGGGCCATTGATTTGGACTCCAATTGGGCTCCTTTTGAAACACCCCCTTTTGGACCTCTTTTAAGCTCATTTTGAGCCCCTTTGGTGGACTTCAAGGGCTGATTTGGTGGCCCAATCTTCCTCCTCTTGGACTTCAATTTGGATCACCAAATAATTGTAAAACTTGGATAGTTCATCTACTTTGGGCTTGAGCTTTTCCTCTACAATTAAAAGCTTCTTTATTTGCCATTGAAGTCCAGCAACCTTAGAGTGCAACTTTTTAGCTTGAGATCTTGTAAATAGCCTTGGAGCTTCCAAAACTCCATCATTGTCCTTGATGCTATCATTCCCCTCTTCTTGAAAAGAATTCGTCCCCAAATTCGATCCTATATCAAACAAAGACAAGTCAGCAACATTGAATGTAGCACTTACTTGGAACTCACCAGGTAGGTCTAGCTTGTAAGCATTATCTCCAATCTTTTCAAGGACTTGAAATGGGCCATCTCCTCTAGGGTGAAACTTTGACTTCCTTTTGGAGGGAAATCTCTCCTTTCTAAAGTGAACCCAAACTAAATCTCCAGGTTTAAAAATTACTTGTTTTCGACCCTTATTCTTTCTCAAGGCAGTTTGCTCATTTTTCTTCTCAATTGCAAGCCTTGTTTGTTCATGAATTTTTTTCATCATCTCAGCCTTTGTCCTACCATCAAGATTAACAATATCATTAGTAGGTAATGGTAATAAATCAAGGGGAGTGAAGGGATTAAAACCATAAACAACCTCAAAAGGAGACATACCTGTAGAAGAATGGATTGTTCTATTGTAAGCAAATTCAATCATAGGTAAGTGAGCCTCCCAAGAAGTTAATTTACCTTTCAAAACAGCCCTCAACATGTTTCCTAAGGTTCTATTAACTACTTCAGTTTGTCCATCAGTTTGTGGGTGACAAGAAGTAGAAAACAACAATTTAGTGCCTAACTTCCCCCAAAGTACACGCCAAAAGTGGCTCAAAACTTAGGATCCCTATCACTAACAATAGTTTTACGTATACCATGCAATTTGACAACTACCTTTACAAAAGGATCAGCAACATGTGAAGCATCATTAGTCTTTAAACAAGGAATAAAACGAGCCATTTTGGAGAACCTATCTACCACAACATATATACTATCCTTACCATACTTTATTCTAGGCAAACCTAACACAAAATCCATAGAAATATCAATCCAAGGTGAAGTAGGAACAGGTAGTGGCGTGTAAAGACCATGTGGTAACACTTTAGATTTAGCTTGTTTACATTCCAAACACTGTGCACACATTCTTTCAACATCTTTTCTCATTCCAGGCCAAAAGAAATTTTCAGCAAGTATGTCTAGCGTCTTTGGGACTCCAAAGTGACCCATAAGCCCTCCACAATGTGCTTCCCTTACAAATACTTCACGTAAAGAGCAATTAGGGATACACAACTTATTTTCCTTAAAGAGAAACCCATCTTGGAGGTTAAACCTCTCAAAACGACTCGACTTACAATCTGCAAAAATCTTGCCAAAATCAACATCATTAGTATAAAGTCCCTTGATTTGATCAAAACCCATCAATTCTGAAGTCAGGGTAGAAACTAAGACATACCTTCTTGAAAGTGCATCCGCAACAACATTCTCTTTTCCTTGTTTGTAAGAAATTACATAAGGAAAAGTTTCAATGAATTCAACCTACTTAGCATGCCTTCTACTAAGCTTACCTTGACTCTTCAAGTATTTCAAGGATTCATGGTCAGTTTTAATGACAAACTCTCTTGGCCACAAATATTGTTGCCATGTGGCTAAAGCCCTTACCAAAGCATATAGCACTTTGTCATAAGTGGAATAGTTCAATGTGGCTCCACTCAACTTCTCACTAAAGTAGGCAATAGGTTTAGAATCTTGCATCAAAACAGCACCTATTCCTTTGCCAGAAGCATCACATTCAATTTCAAAAGATTTAGAAAAATCAGGCAATTGTAACAATGGAGCAGAACATAACTTTTCTTTCAACAAGTTAAAAGCATCATCTTGTTCTTTTCCCCATGTAAAAATCTTATCCTTTTTAATAACTTCAGTTAAAGGAGAAGCAATGGTGCTAAAGTCTCTCACAAACCTCCTATAAAAACTAGCAAGTCCATGAAAACTCCTAACTTCAGTTACACTCTTAGGTTTTGGCCATTCTTTAATTGCTTTAATTTTCTCTTCATCAACCTCAACTCCTTTAGAACTAACCACAAAACCCAAGAAAATCACACGATCCACATAAAAAGTACACTTTTTAAGATTAGCAAATAAGAGTTGCTTTCTAAGAACTTCAAAAACTTGTTTTAGGTGTTCTACATGCTCTTCTAAAGTGTTAGAAAAGATCAAGATATCATCGAAGTACACCACAATAAATTTTGCATGAAAATCCTTAAAGATATGATTCATTAATCTCATGAAAGTGATAGGTGCATTAGTCAAGCCAAAAGGCATAACTAACCACTCATAAAGCCCATATTTGGTCTTAAAAGCAATTTTTCATTCATCTCCAAGATTCATTCGAATCTGATGGTAACCACTTTTTAGATCAATTTTAGAAAAGATTTTGGATTCATGTAATTGATCCAACATGTCATCAAGACGAGGAATAGGATGGCGATACTTTACCGTTATCTTGTTGATTTTCCTACAATCCACGCACATCATCTAAGTTCCATCCTTTTTGGGTACCAATAGGACGGGAACAAAGCAAAGGCTCATGCTCTCTCTCACAAAGCCTTTCTCAAGCAGCTCCTCAACTTGCCTTTGAAGCTTTTTTGTCTCTTCTGGATTACTCATACAAGCAGGCCTATTTGGGATTTATGATCCAGGCACAAAATCAATTTGATGCTCAATGCCACGTAANTTCAACTCTTGGTCTCCTTTCTTTTCTTTTTCCTCAAGCTCACTTTTTATCCCTCCCCTTGGTTTTCCCATTATTTTCCTTAATCTCTTTTGATCTTCAAACACTTGAGAAGGAGATAAAGGTGCAAGAGTAAATTTCCTGTCATTTAGCTCAAGAGAATATCTATTCTTCATTCCATCATGAAAAACATTCCTATCATACTACCAAGGACAACCCAGTAAGATACGACAAGCTTGCATAGGGACGATGTCACAAAGAATATCATCCTCATATCTACCAACATTGAATGAAATGATGCATTGTTTGTTTACCTTTAGTTCACCACTATCATTTAACCATTGGAGTCTATAGGGAGTAGGGTGTTTCATGCATGCAAGTCCCAATTTTTCCACAAAGTATAAACTCACCACATTAGCATAACTACCACTATCAATGATCATAGAACAAGTTTCTCCCTTTATCCCACACCTAATATGGAATATATTCTCCCTTTGTTCTTCACTATTGCTTCCCAAATTGATAGTCATAATCCTCCTAACTACCCCAATCATGCCATCATTAGGTAGTTCTATATCATCATCATTACTCACATCTCCCTCTTCTTCTCCCTCACTTTTTTCACTCTCATATCCTCCATCTTCTCTAAGAATGATGTTTCTTCTACTTGGACATTCATGCATCATATGTCCCTTCCTTTACATTTATGACACTGAATAGAACTAGAAGGTGTAAAAGATTTAGGGTTAAAGGTTTTACCTCCCTCTTTATTCTCAAATTTACCTTTATCCTTATCTTCTTGAAGTCTAGAAGAACTCTTCATCTCTTGATTCGACCATGGCTTCTTGGAGATGGTGTTTGACCGACCTTTCCATGAGCTAGTTTGCTTTCTTTTATTTTGATTTTCTACCTTTACAGACAAATAAACTAATTCATTTATTGTTACATATTGTTGTAATTCTACTATATCAGCTATTTTCTTATTTAAACTATTTAAAAATCTAGCCATTGTAGCCTCTTCTTCCTCCATACAATTAGCTTGGATCATAGCCATATCCATAGCCTTAAAGTACTCATCCACAGACATGGACCCTTACTTCAATGTTTGAAGGCGTTGTTGTAGCTCTCTTTGAAAGTGTGATGGTATGAATCTCTTTCTCATCACCTTCTTCATCTCAGCCCAAGTAGCAATTAGTGCTTGTCCTTCTTGCAATCTGTCCCTAGTAAGATTTTTCCACCAAATAGCAGCATAGTCAGAAAACTCAAGAATAGCAAGTTTAACCTTCTTACCCTCAGAGTAGTTGTGACAGTCAAAGATGGCTTCAACCTTTCTCTCCCAATCAAGGTACAAGTCTGGATCCCTTGTTCCCTTGAAAGATGCCATCTTTACCTTTATACTACTTATATTATCATCTTCTACTCTACCTCTTTGTCCCCTCCTATCAAAATCAATATCATTAAAATTATATATAGGGTTTTCTTGATTTACAATGGGTGCAAGGGGTACATTTCTCCTAGCTTGGGGCCTAACATTATTTTCCCTTCTAAGTTCAGTTATTGTATCATTTTGCTCAGCAATGGTGTCCCTTATCTCTTGGAGTTGTAAATTCCATCTTTCGAATTGTTGATGCATAGCTTGTAAGGTAAAATCATTTCTCGCTTTGATTTCGGCTTCTTGAAGAACCCTTCGTTTATCATCACTACCTGTATGTGACATCTTAAATAATTAAATTGTATCAGACAAATTGACTTTTTCCTCAATTGTTCTCACACACGCATTGCCTTATTTTTTCTCTCTCGAAATAACCTTTGAACAAAATACTTTGTAGATTTATAGTTAAACCCAACTCGTATAAAGTTCTTAGTAGTAAAATATAGATTTTTGGGGAACAAATAAAAGAAGAACCAAATCCTAGAACTATTAGGCTCGGTTGAAACAAGACACGAACAAAAAGGAAAGGATTATATATTTAGATTAGAAAGAGTAAGAAAAATTGAATTTTTATCTTATCTTTTATAATCTAGGATCCCCTCTTCTTGTTTCCTTTGATAGTGTTTGGAAACAAATTAGATAAAAAAGAAAGTTTCTGGAGAGCAAGAAATTGTTTTTTTTAAAACTGATTTTCGTTTTTTTTTTGTTTTTTTAACTTCTTTTTTTTTGGCTCTTAGTATTCAAAAAATCCCTAGAATTATCAAGAATGAAATCTTGATAGAACCGCTCTGATACCACTTGATAACGACAAGGTCGGAAATCCAAACTAGAGTAAGAATTTGAAAAAGTAAATGCGGAAGCAATAACAATAAGGAATTGAACAACTAGAACTAAAGGGCAGAAAATAAAGGATATGGAAAAATTCAAGGAAAGAATTCCAAGAACTTTCAAGAACGCAAGTTCTATAGCCTTGACAAGATCAAAGCAACAACGTCTTGATTTATTGAAGAAATCAAACACCTTTACTTAAAAGCAAATCAAAATAATAGATTCGAATCTTGACCGCTTTTCGAGTAACTTGATATAACAATTAATAACTAGTATTAATCGTCTTCTAAGAATACCATAAAGGAATCAAAGATATCGCAATAGAGAAGTAATCTTACAACCTTAAACTATGAACTAGTAAAGGTTGAAAGATAAATCTCAAACCACAAGTAACAAAGGTTCAAAAGAACTCTCAAAGTATGATATACTTAATTAATAATGAAGTGTCTCAATGAATGAGAAGAACTCCTTATTTATAGGAGTACTAAGGCACAAAAAGTCCTTAAAATTAGGTAGGGTGGTTGCTAAGGCATAAAAAGTCATTACAATTAGGTAGGATGGTTGCTAAGGAGTAAGAAAAGTCATTACAATTAGGTGGGGGCGGCCAAATCCCTTTAGGGCAGATTTGGACCTTAAAACTACTAGTTTGGGCCATTGATTTGGACTCCAATTGGGCTCCTTTTGAAACACCCCCTTTTGAACCTCTTTTAAGCTCATTTTGAGCCCCTTTGGTGGACTTCAAGGGCTGATTTGGTGGCCCAATCTTCCTCCTCTTGGACTTCAATTTGGATCACCAAATAATTGTAAAACTTGAATAGTTCATCTACTTTGGGCTTGAGCTTTTCTCTACAATTAAAAGCTTCTTTATTTGCCATTGAAGTCCATCAACTTTAGAGTGCAACTCTTTAGCTTGAGATCTTGTAAATGGCCTTGGAGCTTCCAAAACTCCATCCTTGTCCTTGATGCTATCAGTATGGCTCGTCTACCTCTTTCATTGACCCTCTTTTATATTCGTAAGGATCCACTCTCATTTCACCGTTCGAACACAATGTAGAAAAGTATTTGGAATGAGGTTTTACATGCTCAAATACATGAATTTTCAAGCTTATTAACATCCTCAATACTAATGATACTAGAGTCAACTAAATTAGTATCCTCAATGTCCATGACCGACTCTAGTGTCACTTCTTCAACATCGACATCATCGAATTCTAGTTGGTTAGACTCTTAGTGTTCTACTCTGACCTCCTCCATTAACACCTCAATTTCTGCCTCTATTTCATGCTCTTCTTGATTACTATCTATAATATTAGCTTGTTTAGCAATTAAAGCTTCACCAGTTGACTCACTTGAGCCTCCAAGTTATGAATAGTCGTCTCTGGCCTTTGCATTTGTAGTTGTCTCTCATAATTTTGTTCCATGAGGCACTTTAAAATATCATTTATCTCCTTCAGGATTGTATTCTCTGGTTCTTTGTTTCTATTAACTTCATAAGAAAATACAGAACCATCATAATAAGGGTTTTGGGGAGGATAAGAAATAGAAGCATAACCATGAAAATGATCATCTTGACCATTACATACATCACACATATTCCACAAATAAGATTGAGTTGGTGTACATAGCTGACTCTCGGGAATATTTTGACAATTTTTTTACGGGTGGTTTCCTCCACAATAAGCAGTAGGAAGATCAAAAGAAGAACTACCAATATCCAAACTCCCATAATTTCAAGTTGTCATATTTCTCGTATCACAAATAGTCTCCTTAATGAAGTCTTCGGTCATCCCTTTCAAATTGTCCAAGCTGTAGAGTTTCGTATCACCCACGACTGTCAGATTCATTTTCCAGAGAGAATTGCAGATATCCAAAAATAAATACAAGCAGGGTTGACACACAGCAAGGAAGAAGTGGTGGAAATGAAGACCCTCAACTGTCATATGTCTAAATATACAACTCATAAGTGCCACTAAAAGAGAGGGGATATCATATTACCAAACTAATGACAATCTTAATAGTTTCTGTGAGAAATGCTAGTATATCTTTTTGTATTTTATCAAAAACATATTTTTTGCAGAAAGTGGAAAAAATAGGAATATTGTTTTTCAACAAAAAATCCAGTAGAGAAGAATTTCTTTTTTCAACCAAACATCATTTCTAAAGGCCTTCAAGATTTGTGTTTTCCCATAAAAGAAGAAGAAGAGGAATAAAGAGAGGGATATACTCATCAGCTTCCAGGAACATCTCTTGTTGAAAGTACTGCACCATAAACCTGTCACGAGAATAACTGTGTGGCTCTTTCGATTTAAAGAAGTTGTCTACCTGACTATAGAAGGGATAAATGCCCCACATCATTAATGCCTTCCTGATGCTTTCCAGGCTTTCCATTTGCCTAAGTTGGCTTTGCGTAAAATGCAATCGGAGAAGATGGATCTAAGATGTAACTGAACAACCTTAATATTAGGTCCCTAAATAGTGAGAAATGACTATTCAGGTTAGGATGTGAAAATCAGCCCAAACCCATTTGACCCGCCAAATCCGCCGAGATTTTAATGATATATTAACGATGGAATGGGTTTGAGCATAACCCAATTAAATCCATTTATTTTTCTAGCCCAAACTCAGCCCATAATTTAGCTCAAACCTGACCCGTGAATAATTTCTTCCATCAGCTTTTTCTAGAAATATTTTGTATCTTTTGCACAAAGATATATTGGTGGGTATTTGAGAAATAGTTGAAGTGATCATATGTTTTCGTTTTTTACTTTCCTATTTGTAAGAAAAAGAACATTTTACAATTGACACATGTTTAAGAAAGGATGAATATAATTTTTAACTCACGAGCTCAGAGTTATTTCTTTTGTTTAAATATTCTTTTTATTTAAAAAAAATACGTTTTCTATACTAGAAAAAAAAAGTACTCATTTTGTGAAAAAGAAAATATTTTTTCTACATCATAAAAAAAAGTACTCTTTTGTTAAAACAAAAGAAAATAAATTTTCTACAAAATGAAAAGAAAGTACTCATTTTTTGAAAAAATAAAAAAATTTCTATATCATGAAAAGAAAGTACTTATTTCATTGAAACGAAAGAAAATACTTTTTCTACTCATTGTAGGCATATAAATTTTATTGAAATTAAATTCGTAAAATAATTTGGATTATATTTTAAATTCAAGATATATTAGTTCAAATAAATTTATTGGGCTAATATAATTAGGTTAGTTATATAAGTCCAACATATATAGATTAAATAAATAAGTTTTAATCCATTGGGCTAGCCCATTTAATTGGGCTAAAGTGATGAGCCCACTTCATTAAGCCCAAGATATCATCTTCCTAGAGGCCCAGTTTCGTGCCAAGTGTCAAACGCCAAGTTAAACGGAAGAGTCAATGGGATCATGACATGTGTCAAAATGACAAGGCATGCCAAGTCATATTAAAAGGCCAATGAAACTGTGCCACGTGTGCAAGTGACATGTCCTGGCCAATCAAATGCGACATTGTCACACTTCAATTTGATTGGTCGGAAAGAGTTTGTTCTTATCATAAATCTTCCCTCCTACAACTATAAATAGGGGTCTTCATAACCTAAAAAATACACCAGAAGTTATAACAAGAAGCAAGAAAGAGCTCGTGGATCAAACGCTGCAAATTCCTCCCAAGTTTCAAGCTTCAAGCAATCAAGTGCAAGTTCAAGAAATCAAGTTCAAGCTCAAGAACGAAGAACGAAGAACAAATCAAGTTCAAGATCAAGAACGAAGAACAAATCAAGTTCAAGATCAAGAACGAAGAACAAATCAAGTTCAAGCACAAGAACGAAGAACAAACCACGTTCAAGCTCAAGAACGAAGAATAAATCAAGATTCAAGGAGTACAAGTTCAAATCAAAGTTCGTGTTAGTTGAATTCAAGATCATCATTCGTGGCAACAATTAAAGCGTTCGCGACGGATAAATCAAATGCAAATTCAAGATCAAGCTCAAAGGCCCTTGAATTTGTATTGGAAAAGTAGAATTAGAGGATCCATAGAGATTGTACACTCATATTATTTGAAATCAAATATTACGATTGTTGCAATATTTTCTGTCCTGATTTTATTTTCTTGATGCAATTTATTGTCTACAAATTCTGGCACGCCCAGTGGGACAATCTCTACCTCTCATCTCAACTTTTCAATCACCAAAGTTCAAGAACATCGAAATGGCTTCACAGAAAATCAACTCCAGATCAACTTTTATTAAGGCTGCTAATTCCAAGTTCTATGTTGATGTCAGCATGCTCGATGTTACCTTTGATAGCTTTGAGCCAGTTACAAGGAGCAAAGCAAGCTCTTTAGAACAACAAACACTTCAAGCGTCGTCCGCATCAAGCTCTATTGTCGGATCTTCATCCTCAAAAGGAACAAGATCCTCTACAAGTGCGACTCAAAAAGGGAACGATGTCGCCGAAAGGATAGAAAAGGTTCTTGCCCAACTTAGTATATCTAAGTCCAAGAAACCCTTCATGCAAGCCGATGATGATGACTTGAGCGCTAGATCTACTCTAACCACAATTAATGCGACCTCTGAG